TTGAAAATTTCGAACTAATTATAATTAGCATTTGCCTTCTAATATAGTAATGGCGCTTTCATACTGTGGACCTGCCTTCGGGCTGACCACTAATTATTACATTTTACCTTTTGTATAACAAAGCACAACAATCGACAGATCAAAATGGTTTCAAAACACAAATACACTGCTACAAGAGATTAAAAGTAATTTTTACACAGTGTTTGAAATTCAATTAATATAATATACATTTCGTAATTGTACAAACTCGACTCGATTAATAAATATGTTAATAGAATTATCAAAATTCAATAACTAGTCCGTATAAAACTTGCTAATGGTCGTGTTAAGGATGCTGATCGTCTATACGCAATTTCCTTCCATTTAAATTGAATGCATACGATTTATTAAACAAGAACAATGTCTGCCAACGTAACGGATATTCTGATAATTGACGTCCGACAAAGTATTTATATTTTTAATGAATAGCATTCAACAAATCATACAAGACGGCTATGCCAACACAGCTAATTTCTCTTAGCAAATAACAATAAATGACGTCATGGTCCCACATCTTGATAATATTTATTGCAAAAAATCAGAAATAGGCAGAAATTAAAAAGTGGATGAAATTGCATTAACATAAATCTGTCCATTTTGGTATTAAAGTAATAATATGTTTATTATGGGTTTCCACTAATTTTGTTTCGAAGTTTTTTTTACTGATTATATATTATGCACAAGATCTGTCAAAACTCGATCCCTCCCAAATGATATTTTGTCGATCTTTTACAGATATATGTAAAACGACTGGATGTTAAAAGTCTTTAAACACAGAAAAGTGTATAAAGTAAATATTGCTTTACCATTTTATAACTAAACATGACGCGAGCATGTGTCGCAATATCAATGCAAATGTCAAATAAATTAAGCCAATGAGTCGAAAAGTATGAACGACCAAATTTAAGTGTGTACAGTTATTGCAATATCAAATATTTTTTTACACTCCATTAAATCAATCGTCATCGGGCAATTGTTCATCATTAACATATGCAAATTACGGTATTAAATCTATTAATAAATAAATAAACTTACCTTTTCAGATCCAGAAAAATCTAGATCTCAAGTCGGCCAAATGTTATCCAATTTTATCATAAACAATTGTTTAATTACACAAACACTTAACATGCATGTTTCAATATTTTTCTACTTTATGAACAAACTTAGGAGAAAATATAAAAGTTGAAGATGGCGACCGAATCGCTACCTGCACCACGATTTAAACCTTTCTGCACGGTCACTAAAATCAAATTATATCGATTACGAATGTTTCACTTATGTCACATCAGCATAGCATCGAAAGTAAACACACAGAAATATAGTCAAAAGTTTTTTCTAAGTCGATAAAGAAAAACAAATCCATGGTTTGTCTACATGTTTTCTTATTTTATCACAGAATGCTCTAATTTGTTTTGCATAGGTGACGAGATTACCGGCAAAGACCCGGGTTACGAGTTACGAGATGTGAGAGGGGGCAGTCAGCCACATTCAGGGTTGACACTACACGACTATGAAACACATTGCCAGCAGTAGTGAAAACATTCCAGACACCATACTTACAAACAGGACAGAATACAAAAGCCTAGTATGGCGTCTAGTCGTTGAACATATTCACTGGCAAATATTCATAATTATCATTATTTACCACAAATGATTTATAAATAATAATTTATTGTATTATATAGATAGGTTCTTTAAATTCAAAAATCTTCTTGTAAGATAATTTATTTATATGTTAAAACCAAATTTCTAAATGGGTTTTATATTTGCACTGTTATTATAAGCTTTAGTAAGATAAAATATTTGTTATTAATCTTTTCAATCCATTAAGATTCCTTTGAGCTGTTGTGACAATACTATTAACTACGTGGCTATTTTGGAGAACAGCCTGGACCCTAGACAATATATTAATATGGGCCTGGACAACCCAATGGTTGCCCTGTCTAGATTTGATTTATTGTTATTATTAGAATTTTCCTAACATTGATGCATAGATAAAAGAACAATATATATGCATTGATGATATAATTTTGAGACAGCAATGTCAGAAAAGGGCAATTTATATTTAAAATATATATTTTTAAGCGATTCGTTTCTCGTTATCAAGCTGTGATCAAAAATCAGGCCGTTTTTGCGTAAACAATTGTTGCAATTTGTTTGTCGATTTTGATTAAACTTTGTATGATGATAGATTTCATGGTTTAAACATAAATACATTTTTAGAACACAAACTAGAATAAAATGTGTGAGAAAAAAAAAGTGCGCGTAAGGTTCACACGCGATTGAAGTAAAACTTTTTTGTACGAGATGGCATTTAAGTAAAAAATAAATACATCTTTGAATGATATTTATTAGTAATATGGTAACACTCGTGATGCACACACTTTTTAACCATTTTACATATTTATATAATAATAAATTATAAATTTATAATAGCATTATTGATATTAATAATATTTGAAAACAAATAATGCAATTGAAGTCAATTACGACATAATCGGTTTTTCATTGGAATTGCATCTGCAGAGATAAAGATATTAGAGAAATAAAGTAATTGCTGATTAATAAATTCTATAATATTCATTCACACAGTGGACAGATCTAATATAACAATCTTGAGTAATTTTATTAACACTAGCAATAAATAAACTGCATAGATGTCCAATGATACACGGCTACACAAACTAGTGGTGCTTGATCTCTTGTTTAGTGTAATAAATCTGAATATCAATTTATTCTTCATTATTTATAAAAGTATGCAACTGTGTAATACTTAATAGCCATCATAAACAAAAAAACATGTAGACTTCCCCTAAACTTTCAAAAGTGTCTGAGATATAATTCTGAAAAAGATATATCTTCACGCTTTCGGAGACGTCGCACGTGCAAAGCCACGCATTCAAAGAAGCCAAGCACATAATACGACAACCAATCATAATCGACCCGTATAGAAATGATATTATCGGGAGCGAATGACGAATCATTGGCACTCGACTCGGCCGTAACGCACTACCGTTGCATTTGTATGGATTTACACCCTAGTCGCGTCTAAAGAAGTTTTACTTAATAAATTAAATTTAATTCAACTTATTAAACTTAATTCATATAATTTCAGAAAGTATGAGTTTGTTTGCTTGTCAAATATTGCATTTATTAGTTTTTAGAGAAATAGTAAAAAGGAGCACCAGTGCTCCTATTAACCGCAATACAGAAATGCCATCATCTTGAATACAATATTCGATACGAATATACATGAAAACAAGTCCTAGTAAAGCACCATTGCATAGGTATTGAAGGGTGATTAGCTTTATAAATTTCCAGCGCTTTCCAAACTTTGGAAGTGTATAAATGTGAACTGATGAATTATATTATAATATATAATATTTCAAAAAATTAATTCTATAATTAATATTCTAAAGAACTAAAAGCTTTGCTCAGCACAGACTTGCAGTAATTTTTCTTGAATTAGAATCTTTGAAGCATCATATCTGATAAAACATAATATAGAAAATTCTAGTTAATTCTATTGCATATGTAACTACTTTAATATTAATTAGTTGCGAATTATAAAATATTTTCTGTAAAACTAATGTTAAATCTAAAAAACACATTCATAATAATTTGCACCTTTTTTCAATTACAAATTTAAATAATGCTTGCAACTTGTTAACACAATAAGATATTTAAATGTTAATCAGTCTTTTTTTTCTAGTATAAACGAATACTTTAGCAACACATACTTACATTTTAACTTTGTCTTCGCATATTTATGGTACGACTAAAAATCTTTTTTCAAAGATCAAAACCTGTATAAAATAAAAAAAAAATAACCATAACTCTGGAATTGATTTCATGAAGCTAGATTTATATCAGAAAGAAATATTTTGAAATAATAAAACTTTTATCATAAATTATTATTTTATATATATAATTAGAAGAAAAATTATGTGTTTTATTATCAAAGTCGAAATAGTGATTTATTATATTTATAAAATTTAAGTAAGGGATATCCACATATTTACCGACTATTTGTTTTAGTTCATTTATTATAAATGCTTAGATTTCAATATATAAATTAAAAAATGCTTTTATTAAAATTATATTGTCATTTGCGTTTTGTGCAATCTTTGTACATATTTATTTAAAGTAATATTATTTGGGAATGTATTTTTTTATTTGAAATATTTTTTTTATAAAAACAATCTAAGGGTATAATTATATATATATATATATATATATATATATATATATATATACATTAAAAATATATCTTCATATATGAATCATTATACACCATCACATGGATCATAGAAATTAATGCTACACCCATTTGAACTTATAATCAAATTCTTTTATAATAAGAGAAATAATCTAATACAATAATTACGCATACATCACATAGTAGTAAGATCAGATATAGCAATATATCAGATATTAACAAAAATCACAATAAAACGATAGATCTGAGAGACTTTTTTTTAGTATATTATTACTACAGTAGTATATTCCACCAAAAATTAGTTTAATAATAAAATATAAATCTCATTTATAAGTGTCTTTTAGAAATTTTATATGATATCTTTAATTTTCTATATGTGTATCAAAAAAGTTTAATACTATATATTTGGTATAGAAATTACAAGATATCAGCTTAAGATAATCATAACATAAAAAAGTATACAAGATACTTTAGATTTTAAGTACAAAAATATAACTAAATTGATTTTATAACTGATATTAAATAACAATTACTTGTAAGTGTTTGAATTGAGCAAGTTTAAATAGTTTTTGTGTAAAATATTAAAAAACATTACAATAAACTTGTATCAAACAAATAAATGGCTTTTTTCTAATAAAAGATTTATATATATATATATATATATATATAACTAATGTAAAAATTTATTTATGGCAAGATATTCAAACTAATCTAAAAATTTCACTGGGTAGCTATACTCATACCTTGATAATGTTTCAATATAAAATAATTTTTAAACAAGAATATGAATATAAACAATATTATACGTCCTGGATTTTATTTTGAGCCATTGACACATCTATATTGTTAATAGACGAACTATTCGTTAAACTATCTGAATCCTTTTCAGTAGCTATGATAGCATCTTGATCAATTGCATTTTGCGTTGTTGTTATACTACTCCACCAATTGGAAAAAACACCTCGTGCTTGTGACAAAGCTCCACCTAATTGATAATTGAAATTAAATTTAATATTGAATTTATACCTTCAATTTTATTTTTTACTATATTATGTTTTATTACTTTTTCTATACTATATATATATATATATATATATATATATATATATATATATATATATATATATATATATATATATATATATATATATATGATAAAAATTGTTTCTTGGGCATCCATCCAATAATTAAAAAAAAAAAAACAGTTTTAATGCAAAATGTTTTAATTAAGAGAACATACGTTTCGGGTCCAGATTTGACCCATCTTCAGTGCTACAAATAAATATATCAGGGCTACAAATTAAAACAATATAAAAAATATATTTATTTTATGTTGTTTTTCATATATACTTTTCATATACATTGTTTCTACTTATTTTTGTCTGTAATTATGTATCTTTTATATTATTTTTTATATTGTTTTAATTTGTAACCCTGATATATTTATTTGTAGCACTGAAGATGGGTCAAATCTGGACCCGAAACGTATGTTCTCTTAATTAAAACATTTTGCATTAAAACTGTTTTTTTTTTTTTTTTAATTATTGGATGGATGCCCAAGAAACAATTTTTATCATATTATTTCACCATCTGAAGAAAAACCTCTCGCTTTATATATATATATATATATATATCATATCACATACCTACAGCTCTGCTTGTATTAGAAACAGCAAGATTAATTTTCCGTCCACTCTCACTATTTTGCATGGTCCTGTAATTTTCAATAATTGTCTGAACTATATTGTTATAATGGCAAAACTTTTGAATTTTGAATAATCAACAGAAGTGTCTATTTTTAATCAATTTTCTAAACATAATGACAAATGTATATAATACAGATAATTTTGTATGAACACTAAGGTGTTTTAACCAGTTGTAAAACTACATTCAGCCTCAAACGATAATTCAACTTACTGTGTTAATCTCAATTTGACATCGCCAACTGATAGTTGTCCAACACATGGATGAGTAGCAGGAAAATCATCCAAATTTTGTAATGTTGTCCCAAAGTTTTCTGACCAGGTCTTGAATGAGTCTGTTCGGCGCCATGCTGATACAAAGTTTCCATTGAAATGATTAAGGCTTGCGGGATCATCTAAAATGTCAATTATAATAACATATATATAGGTATAATTGTAGTTAGATGCATTCTGGAGATATAGTTATCATTAGTTGATTGAAGAATATATCTTGAGAAATCTAATTGGAATGAAGTTTTCAACATTTTCTCTATGTGCAAAATTATTATTCAAAATATTATTATTATATTAATTATACTAAAGATATTAGATCTAATATTAATAAAAACCAACCTGATTGCATTGCTGTTTGTAACATAGACATAAAATATAATTGAAATTGAGCTCTCAACCAAACTTCACCACCAATAGTAGAATCGTGACCGGCACCTGTTACTAATGAATGGTTACTAGCGGATACTAAGTTAATAGGATTGAAAGTATTCCTGACTAAACAATCAGCAAATCTCAAGTCTTCTGTGCTTAATGTTAACTGTTTTCTAAGTTCAGGATCCTAAAATTAATTTAAATGGATTGTAATTACATAACAAAACATGAAATAAAACCAAAAGAAATACAGCTTATTATATTTAGTCCAAATAATTTTCCTATTATTCAAATATAAGTGATTTCAATTTGATATTATTTTAATTTTGTAGGCAATCATTTCAATTGCTCAAAATACTCACATAACACTGCATTGTTAGATTATCAACATCTATGAGAATATCAGCAAGATTTCGTTTTTGGCGAAATAAAACATTAGAGGCTCCAATAATATATCCTTTTACTTTTGGCTCAGTTAGTAACTCCATATATGGTAGTGAAAGATATGGAAAGCAGAGGTATCCATTTGAAAAAATTGGAAGTGGTCCTCCCCAATTTAGAGTATCTATAGCTCGCACTCTAGAATCAACGTTGGCACCAGCGCCTATATAAATAAATTGAAATTAAATATTATGCTTTCCTATACAAAATTATAAATTGCCCTAAAAATTATTTGACCTACTATAAAATATTTAATCAATTTCTATGTATTTGAAAAAAAAAGGTAAACGTAATGATTACAGTAATTTAAAAATTTAATTCATAATATATAATAATAATTACATTGTTTCAAATAATTTCAAGATATTTTATTTTTACAATATTAATTATTTAAAATTTTGCTAAATTATTCTGTAAATGATGTCAGTAATACTTACCGTCTAATGAATCTTCAGACCAAGTGTTTACTAATTGTGAATCATTAATATCATAAAAATCATCATTAACTTCTAAATTAGTCTCATTTTTTATAGCATTTGAAATTTTTGCACCCTTGTTATCATGACTATTTTTAGAATTATCTTCAGAGATATCTTTTCCATCAATTTCATTATTTCTGTGATTTATGAATTCAGTAGAATTATTTAAATTCTGCTTTTCCGCATTGATATTATCTGTATTTGCATTATTACTAGATATTTTTCTTTTTATATCAAGTGTTCTAAAATTAAAATGCTTATAGAACCAAATACAAAATATATAATTTGAACTTATAAACTATACTAACCCTGTATTTGCCGACTCAAATAATCCTTTGTCTATAATATTGGGATGAAGAGATAATATAGTTAATAGGGCTAGACATAATGGCCTTACTGGTGAACCAAATATGACAACCTTTTTTTCCAATAATATTAATTTAAATAAAACTAATATTTTATGACGCCACCTGTAAATAATTGTCTTTATTTCTATTATATATATTTTGTTTTTGCCAATATCTTGCATGCCATCTTAATTAAATAAATTTAATCTAATAATTAATTATATAATTATATTACTAGGTTTTATAATTTTCACTATTTTGATTATTATATTCTTCTCTATTCTTACCTCAACACTAAATCTCTGACACTTAATCCTATAGTTATTTTTTCTAAAATTTCATTTGAGCCAAAACATTGGTTCATATTATGATATGCATCCTGCAATATCTTGGTTTGGCTGAAGTCGCCTTGTTCAAAAAATGCATGCGCTATTAATGCAAGTTTTATCTCAATATGACCATATAAAGGTAAGGTGCTTAGAACACAAACTGATTTTTGAACAGTGCTGCGAGTTACATCAGAAGGTATATTAACTAATTTCTAAAAAAGAAAAAAATATTATTTGTAAAGTAATTTTGAATGTAGATGACCTGAATTTAGAAAACTAGATTAGAAAAATATTATCTTATAGCTTATAATTAATTATAATATATCTTATTTCAGAGTGTTAGGCTCAAAAAAACTTAAAATGATTAACACATAAACAGCATTTTGACAACTCTATCAAATATAATCGCAGAAACAGTTATTGTACTACTCATAACACAACATAAACAAATATTACCTCCACTGGTAATTGTCTATAACATGATACTCCAAAAATAGTCTGTTCATCCTTTTGTAATCCTGGTAAATGAAAAAATACAGAATCTTCCGTAAAATTATGGGATCCATCTGGCAAAGCTAATGTAGGTAAATATTTCCAAGCCGTAGGACATTCAGAAGTATCATCTTTTTCTAATGGAGGATATGAATATTCTATCTAAAAATTAGAAAAAAATCAAAACAATAATATAAAGATGTATAATTTTCACTTACTTCAAATTACATTTGCAATTTACCTGACAGCCTTTTTTGTGGTGAAATCCAATAACAATAATATGTAATATTGGTTTTGTGCAATTTGACATGTTAAGTACAATTATTTACAGAATATGTGAAATATTAGCATTGTAAGACAAAACCTTAAACATTAATGTTTTTATTTGTGCATTTTATTTTCTTTAATCTATTATTGCCGTGTACATCAAATCAATCAATACACATAACAAATGTCAAAAAATCAATTGACATTTCAGGGATTAGCACAACGGCACACGTGCATGTCATGACAGTGTAGCCAAACTTAAAATATGGACCGTTACGTTTTGAATATTTGAAAACGAAAACATTGAAACAAAACTTGAATTTAGATTGAATATGATTTACTACAAAATGTAAGTGACCAAAAATAAACTCCATTTTAGTTTTGAACATTTTTTAAAATATTTTCACTATTGCCCATTTTCTCTGTGTAATTTACTCAAGATTTTGAAATCACAAAAAAGAAAGAATTTATGCGTCCTGCTCCACAAATAAACTGATTTAAATTATACTTTATTGTTTATAAATAATACACAATTAGTCGAGCAATTACCATTTATATTTTACTAATCCGTATTTAATAAATTCGAAAAATTTTGACCGAAAATTATTAATAAACTAAGGGTACATATGGGGTGCTGCCTAATTAAGAATGAGGCAATTTAATTTAGTTTTGCACTATAAAATGCAAAAGCTATCGAATATAATAAATTACAAAAAGCAAAAAGAAGCCAATACTTTGAAGTAAGTATAATGATCATTTTCATGTACTTAAAATATATAATTTTTATATACACAAAATTTAATTTTATATCGGTATCGTCCTCAAACAATTTTTTTAGTAAATAGATAAACTTTAATTTATTTTTTAAAACCTCTTGAAAATAGTTTTGGCGTAAACTGCATCATCTGAAGTTTTGTAAGTACTATATTATAATATTTACAGGCTTTGAAATGAATGAAATATTTAGTACAAGAAATAATTTTGAGCTAATTTAAAATAAACTTCTAAATAATTAAAAATATTAACATACAATATTCAATTCATATGATTTTTGACTGATCTTTTATGTTACGGCAAAAATATTTTTGTTGATCAAACTATATATTTATAGAGAGTGATTCTGATGGTTAAATAAAAAAAAATTACATCTCTAATGAACACGATTTTCCTTTTTTTATTTTATTCAATTCATATTTCAAACATATAAAAACTAACTCAAATAGTAGTTGGAAGGGTTGACATAATATTCAGAAAAAAATTTATAAATGCTTTATTAATATCATTTTTTAATAAAATATACATTCTTATAATTAAAAAATCGTATATATATGTACATCTGTACATAATTTATATATATATATATATTTATAAGATTCATAATACTATTAACGGTAATGCTTAAGAGAGCATGGAAGCATTTATATAAGGGCAAGGGTAAAAAGTTACCTATATTAGAACATAAAACTTAACATGATCTTCAGGAGTATTATTTTTAATATATTTCGTCCTCATAAATAAAATAAATAAGAATTGCCCTGAAAACAAAAAACAATTATTTTCTATCAAGTAATGATGCAGCTGCTTGATCGATATCCCAGTTTGTTCTTATAAGAGCTGCCTCACATATTGGCTTTGTTGCTAAACCCAGGCTGAAAATATAAATCTTTCTCAGATATATATATATATATATATATATATATATATATATATATATATATATATATATATGTGTGTGTATGTATCAGTTTATTTAAGTTAATAAGTTATCAGTTAATTTGAATCAGTTATGCATAATTACTAAAAAATTAGTATGTAAACATTTATGTTATAATACCTTAAAAGCCTTTCAAGTTTTGAGTTGTTAGAAATCGTTGTATTATCTATAGCTGTCTTATTTATGTATGGTGTACTATTGCTGCTTGCTTGATTGTTATCAGTACAGGCTTCATCACAGGTATCCTAAATAAAGTAAGAATGTGTGTTACAACAATTTGTATTAATTGATGTTAAAGCATTTGTGTACAGCAAACTTTCGATCAAATTTAACCTCTTAAGTAATAAAGAGAAGAGATAAAAGCTATAATTGTAAAATATCAATTTATGACAATTAAATCAAACTAAAAGTGAAAATAGTTAACTGAAAATTCACAACTATCTATGAACAAAGTCGTAGATTACCTTTGAAATTCATTACCACTTACCAGCTTTCCTAACATATTCAAACGTCTTTGAATCTGCTGGTATGATTGTTTTGGAAGAGTTCTAGAATTACATAATGGACTAGGCGGAGCAGGTCTATGAGGTTTCAAAAGTTCATCCGCTATTGGCAATGTGCTGTAAACATATTCCACTTGATCATAGGGTCGCAGAGCTGCCTGATTATATACATTAGTACTTCCAGGTACAGTATTATATATTCTTTGGTCAAAACTATTGCAGTATGTATTATATTCAGTTGGCACTTGGTTATATACATTATCAGTATAATATTCTGTATTATACAAATCTGAAGTTTTAGTACTACTTCCACACAAAAGATCAAAAGAGCAACTTTCTACAGGTTTGTTAGTAATATTGAAATTCTTATTGCTCTTTGCTCGAAAATAGGAATCATCACTTATGTTAGCCTGTGAATTAAAATCTTTTGAAACTGTTAATTGAGTATTGTTTTTAGAAATTGATATATCATCAGCAGGTTCCAATTGTAAAGATTTCATTTCTTGCTGCAAACAGTAATCAGTGCACTGCAAATTATCTTGATTCTTAATTTTTTCTTTAAGCTCATTCATGTAAGTACTATTTTGCTGAGATAAATTATTCACTAATGAGTCATTATTAATACTAGATTGCAGTGAGTACTTTTCCACATCTGTAGTATGTTTTCCTCCAAAAGATGGAATGTCTAAAATAATTCAAGAATTATATCCCAGTTAGTTTTGCTATATATAATCTAATCCAACTATAGAAATTAATCTTGAATTAGCCCATTCAAATATACTTGGCAACAATTTCTCAGAAATCGTATGAGAAATTGATTAAGCTTGAACAGCTTTAAAATAAAAATAAAACCAATATTTCCTATTAGAAATCGTTCAAATATTACATAAGTAGATTTATTGCAATTATTTACCCCCCCCACCCCCCTTGACAAAAAGTAAGCAAAGCTCATACCCCCTACCACCATGCTTACGTAAACATTTTGCAATTAATGTAAAAAAAATAAAAATACTACCTATGACGTAATCATCATCCAGACTCCCCTGCCCCCCATGTCAACCCAAAATAAGCAAATCAACAACCCTCCCGCCCCCCTATAGTACTTACGTAATACTTGAACGGCCCCTTATTAACTTCCCGAAGGAGGATTCGCTAATTTTATGTTTTCTCGACGTTTCAAGTCATTCTGAATCTAATGAGACCAAATTTGGAAAAAAATTGTGTGTGTTTGTGTGTATGTGAACAGATTTTTTGCCGTAAATCGACGTTTTCTCAAAAATAGCTGGACCGATTTCAAAAATTTAAAAGCCATTCGTAGTAGCATCCGATAAACGTAGTATCGTTTAGCAATTTTTCACGACGATCGGCCGAGCCGATTCTTTGTGAATCACAGAAAAGTGAAAAATTTTTACTTTTTACGTTTTAGCTCTCAATTGTAAATCGATTTTAAAAAATCAAGAACTGTTTGAAACATATTGGTTGGGAATCGTGCTGATTAGTCTTTGGTACGGATCGGCCGGGCCGTTTTCTTGTAATAAGTGTTAATTTTTTTTTCTCGACAATTTTTATGATTTTTTTTTGACGGTAGATACTATAGTCTTATATATCAAACTAAAATATTACGGCCGTACGACAAGTCGTTTAATTTTAAAAATTCGTCAAAGTTTGCAAAAATTAGTATCGCTTTTTTAGCGTTTGTCAAAATTAGAACTTTCATCGAAGATTACTTAAAAACGCCTAAACCGATTTAAAAAATTTAAAAGCCAATCGATGTATTTCGATGTGGATTATCTTTTCTCAGTTTCGTGCGACGATCGGCTGAGCCGTTTTTTCTCTCAATTGTGAATCAATTTTAAAAAATCAAAAACTGTTTAAAAGATATTGGTTGGGAATGATACTGATTAGTTTTAGGTAAAAATCTACCGAACCCTTTTCTCAAAATTAACTGTTAAAAATGTTTTTTGCCGATTTTTACGAATCTTTTTTTGGCAATAGATGATGACCATGATGTCTTATTAAACATACTAAAATGTTATGGCCGGCCCTACAACAAATATTTTAATGGTAAAAAATCATCAAAGTTTGAGAAAAAATTATAGTCAAAAGTAGCTTTTGTGATGTGATGAGTCAAGCAATATCAATTAATTAAATATTTAAAATAATAAGCTACAATTTTAGGACACACAAGCACATGTTTGTGCAATATAATTAATATAATTACAGTTAATTGAAATGTGTTTGAGAAAATTCTATTCGAAATCGCAATGTTTAGATTCAATTGAAAGTGATAACTTTATTTTTGAAATAAACAGTTGAAAATTTTATCTAAATATCTAAATTTCAATTTTGATTTATTAATTCAATTCTTACACATTTCGGGAAGTTTATGCAACTTGCCTTAAGGCTAAATGCCACTTTCAACTAGTTTTATTTGATATTGATAATCATTTATTTTAATTGAACAATGTTTTTGGTTCAAGTTTGAATTAAATAACAACCATCATGCATTTGCTGACATGTTGTATAAAAATATGTTATTTATTTGTATTAACAAATAATTTCTAGGTATTACCATAAAATTTGCAATCATTAGAAAAAGAAAAAATCTAAGTTACTACAAAATGATTACAAAATACCTGGCATTTTCAATGCTTCTGATAATGCAGTTGCTTGAAAAATATTTGTTGCCATTACTGAATTATCTCTATCAGTTGCAACATCCTCATTTTTTACACTTTTGCTACTTAAATATTCTCCTATTCTCGTTTCCATTTCATTCAGATCAATGTCATTAGAAGTTGATATTTTTTCTTCTGTAGAACTATAACTATATATGTCATTCCTTGAATTATTACACACATGTGATGTATCAAAAGGGTCTAGAGTATTTTGTTGTAATATATCTTGATTCACATAATAAGAATTCATATAATTAGGTGGACTATGATAAGGAGGCGGTGCATTAGCATCAACTACAAAATAAATTAAAATTTAATATACGCAGCAATTTCACCAAAAAATTATTATTACATTTCATTATTTGAAATAAATTAATTTTTATTTCAATGTTGAAATATACAAGTCTTGTAGTCTTGTAATGTTGAAAATTTTAGTCACCTTCTTCTGGTACATCTATAGGCTTATCGATCAGAGACTCTACAGTAGATGCTCTAGTGGTATACATCTTTGGAACATCTTTAACAAAAGCTGGCTCATCAGGTGAAAAATCTATCAGTATATTATCATCAAACATATTCTAGAATTAAGAAAAAAAGTAAATACATTAGGAAGATGCATGGAGAAAAAATAATTTAGTACTATTAATTAATTATAATTTTATTAATTTTTTATACATATGTTTTTAATAAGGTGACCATAATTTGTTTAGTCCTGGAAAATGAGAATACGGAAAAAATATTAAAACTTTGATTGCGTATCAAAAAATTAAGTAAGATTCAAATAGGAAGTAATTGTAATTGGATCTTTTATTAACACTGGTGAAGAAATTCATTAAGATGAAGCAATTTCAAACAAAAAGTCAGTGACATATCAGAATACAAACATCTCAGAATAAAATATAGGGATTAAAATTTAATATGAATGTGAATTGTGAAAAAAACATTCCTGAAAAACTTAGAAAGTAACTATATTTAAAAATGAATGATCATTACATTCCCTGGACAGAAGAGATAGATTATAAACTATAACATAGACTACTAAAAATAATATCTTTCATACTGACCTTCATATCATTTTCCTTGACATAGTCAACTGAGCTCATCCTACTTGATCCTGAATTTTGATCCCTCCTATTATCATGCTTTAATTTTGTATAAGAGAACAGCTTATCAGCATTACTTTTTCGTTCACCAATTGGCTTTTCAATATCTAATAAAGATTTCACAATATCAAATTAATCAATCTTATACATAACTTATTACTAATTTATTGAACATACTGTAAATAAAATTCGTTGGCTCTTCCGCTACAATACTTCTATTGCCTACATATTTTTGTTTATTGACAGCTGAATTAGATCTTTTCATTGTATGGCTCTTTATTCTATTGGCTTCCGTTGACATTTTTGGTCTGGCTTGATAAACAATATCTCTGTAATAAAAAAATAATTATAATAGTATCTAGCCGCAAGAAATGGCACACACACAACTACTAGATGTAAAAATATTAGATGAAAGTAATTTCTGTTTGTTTCAGGCTCTTTGCTCTTATTTGTTTTTGTCACATACATATTTGGTATGGCTTAGTTGCTTTTAAAAGAAAAAAAATCAACAATATACTAAATTAAGAAAATAGATCGCCAAGGCCATTCTAGTTCAAAATGAAAAAAAAAGTCAGTATCTTACAACAATAAAATATAAGCAATACACAAACACATACACACAATTTAAATGAAATGAAATAATAAGAGAAGCTCAATATACCTTAGAAAAGTATTTATTTCATAGGTTCTTTGATTTTGACCTTTCCACCACTTTAATTCAGATCTGCCGTCTATTACAACAATAGCATCTCCTTGTTCTATTACCATGTGGCTTTTCGCATCATTAGGGTCAGAATAGCTGCATGATGCAAATACTTTGCAGGGAGAATAATTCACAAGAAACTCTCTGAAAAATAAAGCACAGAATATATTTTGTAGCATTAATAGGATAAATTGATCTAATATATTTGTAACATCAGTGGTAAAGTTTGTAATGTAATATTTAATATACTAATAGAAAATTTCAGGCATGAAACACATTTAGCATTATATTTATACTAAACAAACTCCATTGTACAAATAGTACAAGAAAACGTAAAAAAAAAATGAAATAAACATAGCCCAACAAGAAACTTCACTGTACATATTGTTTTTAATTGCTCCTTGTATGTCTAAATTTTAATATATATATATTTATTATTCAATTTCAAAATTAACCAAAAATTTATTATAAAAATTGTTTAACTACTTCATGAAATAAATGTTTTTTGAAGTTTTTTAAAATACAATATTTATAAAAATGATTTCAATACTTAATTGCTGCAAATGTTGGTCTCTCTGAAGGTGTCTTATCCCAGCAATGAAGCATTAATTGATAAATGTCTGGTGGGCAAGCATCTGGTTGATGTAATCGTTCACCTTCTCTATCAATTTTATGTAATATTTGAGATCCATTCAAACCTATATAAAATAGCAAGATAAATATGTATAATAGACATCAGATATATTGACAATTTATGCATCATAAAATCAACTTATTAAAAAAATATAAAGTAACTATTAAATAACTATCAGCTTATTTTGAAATACAAATAATTTTTTGTAACATCTACTTACCAACCCATGGGTCTTCACCAAAAGTGAACATCTCCCACAATGTAACTGCAAACATCCATGTATCAGAGGCATGACTAAATTGCCTATACCTCAAAGATTCTGGAGCACACCATGGAAAAGGTACTTTCTTATGTTCAGTCATTACATAGCAATCCTCAGTCGGTGGTAGAGCTCGCATCAAACCAAAATCACAGATTTTAACCTGACATTGATAAGAACATATTTAAAATACTATAACCAAATGAATAAAGGATAGAAGACAATATTTTTATATATATTTTTAGTATAAATGAAAACAAACCATGTTTATCGAAATAATTCTGAATTATTTCTGAATATCACAGCTAATAATTATACCTTTGATATTCAAATTTCAGGTAATTTTTTATATATCTTTTCATTAGATTCAATCAAAATATTATTATAGAAATATAATTAATAACTTAAAAAAATATCTTAAATAAAAATAAATTGGATGTTAGCATGCTCAAAACATTTCACATTTAATTATAGAATAACTAATAAAATGCTAAATTTCAAAACATTTATATATTTTATAAACATGAATTCCTTGAACAAAAAATTTAGAATATGAAAGAATGTAAATTCCAGAGAATACTATTAAGTAAAGAATTATTAAAAAAATATTACAAGTATAATTATGTTCTATAATAACTATGAATTAAGTCACTAAAACACAGCAATTATTTCAAGAAGTTGAATTGAATTGAGGTTTAAAATATATGAGCAATTTACAGTTTGCATTGAATCATGATGTTTAGTATTTTATATCATTTATTATTATAATTGTATTTTGAAGTCCAATAAAAATAAACTTTCATTAAAGTTAATGCTTATATAAGATACTATAATGAATATTAATAACAGACAATGATTGATATCAAAATTTTAAGAAATTTTAAAGAATTTTATTTACCCTATCCTGAGCAGCAATTAAAACATTGCGGCAAGCTAAATCACGATGCAAAAATCTATTTGCTTCAAGATAGGCCATTCCTTGAGCGACTTGAATAATCCAGTCCCATATTACAAGTAGTGATGTTTTATAACAATCTCTTCGTAAAGTATCAAGTACAGACCCCTTCTCTGCTAGCTCGGCAATCATCATCATAGGACTTGACAGAACCACACCATGCAATCTGCAATAAATTTTGCGTAAGTTATGATATGAAATAATTTAAAAAGATACGCTAAATGCACCAGCACAAAAAAAAATCAGAACTGGTGATACTAATTGCAATATTATTGATATATGTTGATAAGTTTGTAAAATGTGTCACTTTGATTTCAAATGTGTTGTTTTATTAACAATATGTTACAACAAGAAATCTTCATAATGATTTGATTGTTCATTGCTTGGTATTTGAATTAAACCTGTTTTATAGTTTAGCATAAAAAACTTTATGTTGCTATTAATATTTCTTCATAAAACTGACTTGCGAAAATGAGTTTAAAGAGTAAAAATATTCAATTTCATAAAAAAAATTAAATAATTACCTACCTGATTAAGTTCGGGTGATTTAGAATATGCATTGCTTGAACTTCCTTAAAGAAATCATCGATTACACCAGGTTGTGAAAGTATATCACCTTTTAAAACTTTAACTGCAACTTGAATGACTCTGCCATTAGGTGCTCGCCATTCGCCTTTTCTCACTACACCAAAAGATCCATCTCCAAGTTTAGTAGACAATGTGACATCTTTTTCATGTATTAAACAAGTTAAAGCCAATGGTTTTTCTGATTCAGGCACAGCCTTTGTAGCCTTGGACGGTTGTTTACCACCACCGATAAGTTTACTTCTAATATCACGTCTCCATTGTTGAGTTTTCTTTTTCTTCACTGCTTTTAAAAGTCTCCTTACTGCTGGTTTGCCTATGCCAATACCTTCTAAATCTTCAGATTTCACATAATCAAAGTGTGCTAATCTTGTTATTTGCAAATCATCTCTTATTCTTAAATAAAACTGTTCAAGCTGCTCATCCTGCAATAACTGGTTGAGCCACTCAGTATCATCACTTGAATAAGTCATTCTAAATTTGTATCAGAACTAAAAACCGTCTGAAAAGAATAATTCTGAAACAAATAGTATGCTTTTATTGCTTTACATGACAATAGTGTGTTTAAGTAGACTAATATGCAGTGAAGGTCAATATTATCTTAAGTAATTTAGTTTACATACTATGAATTAATAACAATAACAACATCCTTGTCGATTCGAAAGTAGTACTTTCTATCCAAACAGAATTAATATAGAATATATATTTTTTATTATAACAAATGATTTTTTGCGCATTTCGATGTTTGTTTTCGGTACAATCTTATAACTAGTAATTTGCATTACTAAATAAGCATGCCTGCTAAGTCCATAAGTCAAGTGACGACTGACGTTCTTTCACAATGCAGTGCGAACTGCATTGCAAATTGCATCGATATATTCTTTATCGATAATTATAAAGGTGCATCCTCACTAATGGCTCGCTCCATTGCACGAATCCGTACGGCAATGCGGACTCGTGGACTCGTTTACTTATCTATGACTCGTGGACTCTACCACAATGTAGACAAACATTTTTCTTTTTTGATGTTAATATGTGCAGTCTTGCATTAGTTTATGTTGGGATTATTGTATTTGTAATTTTGATCATTTTAAATAATTTTTCTCTTTCCCGCCACTTTAAATAATAAAACTGACGTTTAACGAAACATGCTCGAACAAAGAAGATTCAAGCCCTCACTGCTTTGAGGAGTTTGTTCAAGTTCATTTGAAATGATTTGTCTTTGTTCGAGTTTGTTCTTCTTTCTATTTTCTTGTTCGTCATGTTCGATCGTGGTCGTTCGTTAGATGAGGATGTGCCTTAATTTTGTGAGGCACAGGTTTGCAAAAAAAACTCTATCTTCATTTGGAGTGGCATAGATAAACAAAAGCTGGGAAGTATCCTAAACAATATGTTGAGTGGAATCATATCATATACTTATTTATATGTGCTTATTTATCTACGCATATACTCTTTTTTATCTGTGAGTGGAATCACCATCCATCCGCACATCTTCACGTTGGTAGTCACTAGAATTTATAATTACTGGACAGCAAACATGTGCCAAAATTTAAAACCAACACTTATAAAACTATTAACTGACTCTATTATTAAATGACTCTACCAGTCATAAATGCAGAAAAAATTAGATAATTTTGCGATAAATATCATATTAATATTATAACCTCTCATGTTTTTTAGGACTAGGATAAAAATTCAGAATTTACGAAAAAAGCTTTTTCGTTTCCCTAGGGTTGATTATAATCTGATATATATCTCAGATTGTCTAATCTTTAACTTTCCGTAGGGTAAGTTATTGTAATCGTCAAAAAATCGAAATTGAAATTTTTGCATAAATTTACGTTTCAAAGGTTTCTGAGCAATACGATTTTTCGTCGATGTTTTCGGAGTACGGCTCAACCGATTTGAATGATTCAAAAATCAATCGATTCCTACTTATGAGGATTAGTGCGCAGATTGGTGATTTAGGAAATGGAAATGGAGGTACGAAGCAAGGAATGCACAGAATGGAATTGAAGTTTTTGAGAGAACAGAACATCCGATAGTTCAGAAAAAAATCCATTTAATTGTAATGATCAGAAGACGCGGTGATTAGTTTTTTGCAAAAACAGGCCCAGCCGTTTCAGAGATAAGCTATAAAATTGTAAAAAATAGCATGCTATTAAAAACTGCAGTTTTTGAGAGAACAATAAAGCGTCTAATTCGAATGATCCAAAAAACTTTTGGATCATTCGAATTAGACATTTTGCTTTTAAAGAAACGATTATAAATGATTATAGTTTTTAAGAAAGACATTTTTTTTAAATATCAAAAATAATTCAGATTTTAAATTTAATTCTAGTCAAAATTGTAATGTTCACTTACATACTTGAAATAAATATAATTTTAACTTTGCAATTCAGTTTTTATCATTCTTAAAAATATGGGATAAGTTTCCATGGGATAACTTATAAGATCTTATATTTGATCTTTAAAATACGAATAATGAAAGTTACAGTATTTATAGTAATCTTTTTGAAAATATTTAAACTCGAATATTCAGCGAATAGCAATTTGCCTAAAGGCTAGATGCACCACTTTATAAAGTTGAGGTCAACTATAGTTAATATGCTGACCTCAAAATATATTTTTTAATTATAATAATAAAATAGCTAATGATACCGACATCAAAGTTTACTCTGATTATTTTTCACAATTGTAAATATTTTATTGCTTTAAAATTATTAGCTTTTTATTAACTTCCCGTAAGGTAGTTATAGTAATGGGCTAAAAATCAAGAATGAAAATTTTTGCATATATTCATGTTCAGAAGGTTTCTGAACATTTTGGCATATCTCAAAAAAAATTGATGTGTGTGTTTGTGTTTTGTATGTCAACGTTTTCGGACGCACAGATCAACAGATTTAAATGGTTCAAAAAACATTCGATTCCTATTGATATGGAGGGAGTGCTGATTAGTTTTTGGCAAAGGCAGGTCTAGCTATTTCAAAGATACAGAGCTAAATATGCAAAAAATAGCAGTTTTTGAGAGAACTAAGCGTCCGATTTGAGGGATTCAAAGAACTTTCTATTTCCTTTAACAAAATAATCGCTTTCGAAAAAAAATTAGCTTCAATTTTTTTTTCCATATTTCTTTTTTCATATATTCTTTTTGTATATCGAAAATAAATCAGATTTTAATTTTAATTCTGACTAAAGTTATAATATAGTTTAAACTAATAATTTCAACTTTGCAATTCATTTTATATAATTCTTATAAATAGTAGACAACGTTAAAATATTTATGATCATCTATTTGAAAATATTTAATATTCCTCGAACATTTCGTTACGGTACGGGAAGTACCAGCAATTTGCCTTAAGGCACGATGCCATATACCACTCAATTGATTCTATTTTTTTTAAACAAATTGCATATTTCAAAAATAAGCTGAAGCGATGTAAAAGCTAGAGGCACTCATGATAGGTATCTTGTAAGATACTTTTTTATATAAGGATAAAATTTTTCAATGAAAATTAAAATGTATTAGTGGCATTATTATATAAATAATTAATAATTCAAGTAAAAAATATGTAATCAAGGAAATGCTGTAAAGTAAAATCAGGTTTTCCTCTTTTACAGACTATAATCAATTCACAATATAGTTATCCATTATTATTTTTAAAATAAATAAGGTAATTAAAATTTAAAATTTTATTTTGTATATATACAATAAGAATAAAATTATATACAATGAATATTTCAATTAAAATTTGTAAGTATCTATCAATAAATCTGTTTTCATTAAAATCATTCGCAATTTTTATTATAGTGGAAAAACTTGCGTAACCTTTCCTATACCCTTAGTTTTGCCCTCTCGAAATAAAACGCGCATTCCCTCTGTAACATATTCGGGATGTCTTTTAAAGCGGAATAATACCGATGCGGTGTCATTTGTTTTCGAGTGACTCGGATCCCATGATTCCTTCGATAACCGCCGTCTGCCGGACGCTTCCTATGTGGACTGTAGTTTGAAAGCCTGGATATATTGCCGTGGCATGAAAAATAACTGATATATAGGCCTAGAAAATAAAAGTAAACAGATCAACAATTTATACAAAAGTGTTTTTGTTCACACTAATCTTTATAGATAGAAACATAAGGTTTGTAATTTTTATGAATCCATTTGAATAACATACTTGGAAAAAGTAGGTTCCTCTCGGTTGACCATGCATGGGCAGTAAAACCATTCCTGACCTCAGTCCAGGTGGTTCGATTGATAATCCCAGTGAAGCACTTTGAGTTGCTCGCACCACTCGACACGGAGCACGGTTTCTATGTAGAGATTGCACAGTTACTGGCATAAAACTTCCATCATTCAAAGGACCTGTAATTCATTAATTAAATGAATAAATAAATGATTTTATCAATATTTTATATACATCTATTATTAGCTTCAAATTCAAATTTAACTAGTTGAAAGCGGCATTTAGCCTTAAGACAAGTTGTATGAACTTCCCCAAATGTGTAGAATTGACTTAATCAACCGAAATTGAGATTTAGATATTTAGATAAAATTTTCAACTATTTATTTCGAAAATAAACTTATCGCTATCAATTAAATCACAATAAGCTTTGCGATTTCCAATAAATTTTTCTCAAACACATTTAAATTATCTGTAATTATATTTTACATTGTACAGGCATGTGCTTGCTGAATTTGATATTATTATAAATTTTAATGAATTTATAATAAGCGAATTTGAGACAAATTTTGACTATAATATGTCCTCAAACTTTGAATTTTTAACATTAAACTATTTGTCGTAGGGCCGTAACATTTTAGTATGTTCTATGAGACTATGATATTTACAGTCAAAAAAAAGTTTCATAAAAATCGGCATTTTTTTTCTGCAACAATTATTACAAGAAAACGTCTAGGTAGATTTTTACCTAAAACTAATCAGTATCATTCCCAACCAATATTTTTTCGAACAGTTTTTGAATGTTCAAAATCGATTCAGAATTGCGGGCTAAAACGTGGACGAAATTTTTTCCACTTTTGTGTTATTTAGAAAGAAACGGCTTGGCTGATAGTCGCGCAAAATTGATAAACGCTAGTCCTCATAGAGATGCATGGAATGGCTTTTAAATTTTTGAAATCGGTCCAGGCATTTTTGAGAAAACGTAGACTTACGGAAAAAAATCTGTTCACATACAAACACACTTACTTTTTCCAAATTTGGTCTCATTTGATTCAGAATGGCTTAAAACGTAGGAAAAACATAAAATTAGCGAATAGGATTTTTTGATGAAAACATAAACTCCTTCGGGAAGTTAAAAAATATAACATATGTGAAAGACTATTTTTAGACACCAACATGCTTCTAGATCGAAATTATATCTATTTCATATTTTTCTAGTAATATTTCTAGCAATAAGTTTGAACCATAATAGAATGTAACGTAATTCATTTTTTCAAATCTATAAATTTTTGAATTAGCTCGAAATAGCAAATCAATCACAAGTTGATATATTCTCAATATTCCATATTAATTTCAAAATGTACCTATTAGCATCTTGCTGCCCTCAGTAAGAACTCCGCAAACAAGTAAACCACCTACAACATTTCCCACCTCTGCAACTTTAAAAGTTTCATCAATTTGAAATTCACATAATTGCTGTAACAAAAAAAATCAATATTACACAGATGTAATCAACAAAAAAGTAATATTGAAAC